AACTGAAAAATGCAGTATTTGAAAGTGGCGCCCGAATTGCAGCATGGCGCCAGTTGTCCAAAATCCTACGGTACCAAAAGGAGGGGTTTGGAAAAGGGGTGCCAGGCCGAAAACGGGATGCAGCCGAAACAGCAAAAGATAGACCAGGGATCGAGCCCTGGCGAAGTCCGTAACAGACAGCGTTTTCCTATGTGTATTGCGTGGAATAAGAGCGCACATACCGGGGCTTGAAGAGCGGTAACCAGGCCACAAAATGGCAACAGCACCTGAAGCGCAATCTGCGTTCTCGTCCGACCTGACAGTCGGAATCCCATTTCGGCATGAGAGCATTTGGTGGAACTGGTGAACCGCATTCAGGTCGAATGGGACAGAGGCACAAGTGGTTAACGGGGACCCCCACACTCTATAGATTGGTGTGAAGTTTGGTTGGGCTGGCCTTATGGTTTTCTTATAAATTGAGGTGAAAAATGGGGGGTCGGTTAACCTTTTCTCGACAGAGGGGTCGTAGAGTCGTAGTACCTAACTCAGTGAATCACCAGATGGGAAGGAGACTAAATCGCCGGACTTTAGGAGCAGCTGGTGTGGCGGGTACGAGACTGAGCTTCGACCTCAGTCACAGTATGAGAGCCAGAGACTCTTCAGTGTGTTGGTTTTTTTTGTTTTGTTTTGTTTTTGAGCTACCGGGGCCATTACCCGGCTTCGGCTAAGAACAATTGAAGAAAAGGGAGAACTCAGAAACATTCGTGGTCCACTACTCAAACTTGCCAAGATATTTATGATGATCCCAGCCCTGCTGACATTGACAGGAACTGTGAAAGTCAGGCAAACAAACTCACAGTCCTTCCATGAGTAATCAATGGTGGTCAGGGGTTGCTTCGCCATGAACCGAAGGAAGGGTTGTGTGTGTGAGTGTGCCATATATTCATGTATCACTTTTCTTGTCCTGGCTTTGGATTGGAACCGGATTGACGCTCCCCATGATAGACATGGAGGCAGGTCCATAAAGCCCTGTTTGAATTGAAAAAAACAAAAAGGGAAAGGGATTATGTGAAGAGGAGGAGGAAGGGTGAAGAAGATGAGATGGAAAAGAAGAGAGGGGGAAGCCCTTCATTTCAACTTGCACAATTCTCCTTCTCCTTCTTCTTTGTCGTCTTCTTTTTTTTTTTTTCCACAAATCTTCTTGTCCTTCTCTCCTCTTATTCTATTCTGCTCTTATTCTCTTTCCACTTCTTATTTTGAGTTCTGCAAGTCTTGCATTTTCTCACATTTGAGTTTTGCATTATGTATGGAGTTGGGAGTACGGTCAAAAACCACCATTACATCTGGAGAATTTGAATGAGCCTCTGCAAGAGGTTAGGGGACTCAGGACAGGGCCCGCCTGGGGGCGGGCGGAATTTCTTTTGTTTGTTCAGGGCTGGGCCTATTGCCACCCAACGGCATGGGACTATTTTTTTTCCTCCTGGCCCTTCGGACGCCCTGTCCCGAGCCTCCAAAATTTGAGGAGAGGCTCAGTCGGATTCTGCACCCTCCTTCCCTATGCGACCCCATTCTGATTCCCGAACCCCTTCCCCCCTCACCCGGTTTCTTTAGTCGAGACCCTGATTTGACGTATCCCACGCCCATCGGCCAGGAATCACCCCCCCGTGCCGCCCCGGGGCAGCAAAAGGCTCTACAACAGTTTTTGGCCCCTGCAAGTCTGCGAACATCCCGGCGGCGACAGGAAGTGCGGGCAGGACCAGGGAACCTTTCGGATTTATAGGAGACAGCGCGGTCACATTAGGAAGAGGTGCTTAATCTTGCGGCCGAACCAGGGCTGAAGATATGTCTCTGCAATGCTGTCTTCAAGCGAAGTTCATCACACGTTTTCTGTATAAAAGACAGCGCGTCGTACCGCCTTCTCAGTAAATCCTCTGCATGGGTAATCAATGCTGGCAGGCCTGCTTGATGAATGATGGGATGCTGGACTGCTCAGTCAATCCTCTGGATTCCAGAGTAATCAATGCTGGCAGGAATCTCATACAAAATTTTTCCCGACGTACTCTGAATTCATTCTGTATATGGGACGGACCCATTTTCCAGCAGGTGATGCTCACCACCAATAGATGGAGCCCCCCCCCTCCAGGTGCTAGTGGTGTCTGCTCTTACCAGCGCCACTAACACTGGAAGGGGCGTTTAAATAAAAAAATAATAATAAAAAAAAGGATTCTCACCTTGGCTGGGGCCATGTACAGGTGGTATAAATAACATAGTTACAAGGAATAGCATTAGGCAAGGTGTGCACTGAAGTAGGTCAGTAGGTCTGATACATGGAACTGACAGTCTGTTGGGGGCATGGGGGTATGATTGGGGGCATGTGGGTACCATTGAGGGCATGTGGCTATTGTTGGGGGCATGTGGGCACTGTTGGGGGCATGTGGGTACTGGGCGTCTTTGCTGGGGAATTTGGGTATGTGTGATCTTTGTTGGGGGTACTTATGGCCTCCTATCTTTGCAGCAGCAGCTGTGGGCAGGCAAATTGGCACGGGAAACTGTGTCAGAGAGGTAGACAGTGCAGCTGCAGGAGTTACGGTCAAATCACAGAATGGTAGCAAGAGAAATGGAGGCAGGTGGAACCGTCGCACTTTCCGGACTGTTGTAGCATACAATGGGTCAGCCTTTGATGGCTGGCAATGCCAGCCAGGCCTGCACACAGTTCAGGAGTAAGTATTCAAAATTTCAAATTTATAAGTTAAAACAGTCTTGTACTCCCAAACTCGTTACTGCTTCCAAACATCTTGCTCAGCAGCACCCTTGTTGAATTTTGATGTGGTCATCAACCCATCTGGCTTCTCTCTCACAAGCTTATGTGTTGGACTGATGGGTCATCCAAATCATGTCAGTTCACACCACCCATACCCAAGGAGCCCACAAAACTCTCTTCAACTGAACTATGACAATGCAAGTTCATGAAACATAGTCGGGAACTGCATACGCTGCAGTTGGCAAGATGATACCAACAGCACAAAGAGGGTGGTACAGTTTTTCGACCCATCCGTGATAGGACCGAGTCTTGTAGGGCATGGTACAGTTAGTTGTTCGGTAGACCCTGATACAGTGAAGTAGTCTTGTAGGAGCCCTCTACCAGACGGATCCGGTCCAGTTGGAGGCTTTGGCCAAGGCCAGAGGTGTCTAGGAGACAGAGCCGGAAATTCATAGTTTCCATGCCAAACGGCACAACATTAGGCACTGGGGCCCAGGTAACTTGCTTGGGAGGCCGGGTACCAATGATCATGGAAGGGAGATCGTCAATGCATGGTTAGATAAAAGACTTAAAGAAGGGGATGTAACAGAGGGAAGCGCGCATTGCTGAACGCACCCAGACAAGCAAATAGAAACCCTAACTCACTGTCTCCGAGACTGCCAACATGCCAGGAGCCTATGGATTCGATGCAGAAGTACACGGAACTGATTATCCCCTACGGAGTACCCAACTAACTAATTCTATCTGCTAACAGCAAGGGATAGAGAGGATCTGATCTTAGAAGAGGATAAATTTCCGATAAAACGATCACAGAACTACTTAGAAAGCTTGCTTTGTGGGTAATCTGGAGAGCCAGGTGCAGTGGAACAGTATGTAAGAAGAGAATATCAGAACAGGAACCATAGGAAGAAGCAAAGGAGCTCATGGAAGTGGAAATTGGAGTAGAATGGAAGCAAGGATGGTGAAGCTGCAGAAAGACTTCGAGATAACATTGTTGAGGGAGGAACTAGCAGCACAAGTATCAAGCAGAGGCCTACAATTCAAGGATTGGTGTGAACTGGGGGCAGGAAGAACTGAGACACAGCTAGAGAGCCAACAATACATGCACACAGAGCATAGTTGCGGTGCATCAGGGCGGAGCACCACGCACCGTGCACGGATCTGTGATGTGCGCGCACCGTGAGCATCAGCCGCATATATGCAGGGCGCAGGGCACAACACTACTCCCCTGGCGCGCGCGCAGTGCACCACACACTGAGGAATAAAAAAAGAATAGGTCGGCAGTCTTGAGGTATCATCTTCAACCGGAGTAGCTGCATGTAAATCGAGCATGTGCACCACACAGTGCGCGCGCACCATGCGCCTTGCGCTGTGCAGCGCATGTGCTCGGAGCAGCACATCTCGATGCGCCGCATGTATGACACAGAGTAAGGAAAAAGGAGGGAAGAGACGTGAGGGGGGTAGATAACTCATGTTCTTAAACCACCAGTACATCTGGAGAATTCAAATGAGCCTCTCGGAAAAGTTCGGGGACTCGGGACAGGGCCAGCCTGGGGCCGGGTGTAATTTTTTTTTTCTGCTCAGGGCTGGGCGTAGGTAGTGCCACCCCACAGCATGGCACAATTTTGTTTTTTCTACTCGCCCTTCGGATGCTCTGTCCCGAGCCTCCGAAGTTTTAGGAGAGGCTCAATTGGATTCTCAATTTGGCTGGGTCCATGTACTGGTGGTTCAAAGAGAGAAGGGGAAGAGGTCGGTTACCGTTTACTAGGACGTCAAGTTGAAGGCAGGATTAGAATCTGAGGAGGACTAGAAAGGCAATCACAGAGTAGGGCAAGAGAAGTACAATGCAGACAAAGGGATTGAGGAGCAGACGGGAAAAGGGAAGCAGTAAGTTTAGATTAGGCAGGGGTGAGGGGAGGATATGCGGGAGTAATCAATGCCCCACCCACCCCGATCTCTCTACCGTGATGGGGAGAAGCGCTGAGTGTGTTCTCTTTGTATGTATCTGACTCGCCGGTGGAATAGGAACCGAACTCACATTCCCTAGAATGGATAGGGAGCCAGAACCGGCAGGTCCTGTTTTTTTTTTTTTTTTTCGGGGCAGGTTCTGTTTTTTTTTTTTTTTTTCCCTCAAAGACAGGACTGTATATTGTAGAAGGAGAAGGCAATATAATGGATTCCGATTTATTGTGCTTCAGACAGGACCCCTACCCCATCCGCGGTCCTCCCGGTTGGACCGGCCAGTGGCCCGGGTCGGTTCCCTCCCGGTCGCCACCAGCGCAGTTTCGCTGTGGCTTGAATTTTTTTTTTGGCGGCACGTACTTGTTGCAGAGGCCTTGTGGGGGCTGGCCCTTCCCCGCAATTACGAAACCGGGTCCTGTAGGCCCGGATTTTCGAACTCCAAAAAGGGGCCAATCTTGGCCGCCGATCGTCGCAGATCAGCGGCAACGATGGGCCACTGTTTTGAATCAGTGTTGGCGGGAAACTGAATCGCGCAGCGGGACAAAACGCATCACGCGTTCAACCCCGCTCACCTCCAGTCTGTGCAGTCGCTCCGCCGTCACCTCCAACAGTCAGCCGCGCCATCGTCGCCATCGCCAGCCAGCCATGCCATCGTCGGTAGGTCTCTGCAGGGTGCAGCATCGCCATCGTCGCCTCTGCCAGCCAGCCGCGCCATCACGCCCCCCGCCGACGAGCCACTCCATCACGCCCCCAGGTTTGTTTCTTGTTCTTCTTCCTCCTCTTCTTCTTCTTCTTCTTCTTCTTCTTCTTCGTGGTGACTCTCCTCACCTGTTAGTCATAGCCGTCCTCTGCTTCTTCTTCTTCTTCTTCTTCTACCTCCTCCTCCTCCTCTCTAACCCATCGGCTTGTGTTCTCTTTCTTCTTCCTCCTCCTCCTCCTCCCCCTCTTCCTCTTCTCCTCCCTCTTGTTCGTCATCTTCTCCTTCTTCTTCCCCCTCCTCCTCCTCCTCTTCTCTCCTCCGTTAGCCATACCCTTTAATTTTTTTTTTTAATTTTTTTTTTTTGTTGCTGCTTCAACTCCCTTGCGTTCTTCTTCTTCTTCTTCTTCTTCTTCTTCTTCTTCTTCTTCTTCTTCTTCTTCTCTCCCCTCTTCTTCGTCAGTGTCTTCTTCCTCCTCCTCCTCATCTTCTTATTCTCCTCCCTCTTCTTCGTCTTCTTCTTCTTCTTCTCCCTCCTCCTCCTTCTCCTCTCTTCTTCTCCTCCTCCTCCGATAGCTGTAGCCGTTTATTATTATTATTAGTCTTCTTCTTCTTCTTCTCCCTCCTCCTCCTTCTCCTCTCTTCTTCTCCTCCTCCTCCGTTAGCTGTAGCCGTTTATTATTATTATTATTATTTTTTTCATTGGTGCTTCAACTCCCTTGCCTTCTTCTTCTTCTTCTTCTTCTTCTTCTTCTTCTTCTTCTTCTTCTTCTTCTCTCCCCTCTTCTTCGTCATTGTCTTCTTCCTCCTCCTCCTCATCTTCTTCTTCTCCTCCCTCTTCTTCGTCTTCTTCTTCTTCTCCTCCCTCCTCCTCCTCCTCTCTTCTTCTCCTCCCTCCTCCTCCTCCTCTCTTCTTCTCCTCCTCCTCCGATAGCTGTAGCCGTTTATTATTATTATTAGTCTTCTTCTTCTTCGTCGCCCTCCTCCTCCTTCTCCTGTCTTCTTCTCCTCCTCCTCCGTTAGCTGTAGCCGTTTATTATTATTATTATTATTTTCATTGGTGCTTCAACTCCCTTGCCTTCTTCTTCTTCTTCTTCTTCTTCTTCTTCTTCTTCTTCTTCTTCCTCCTCTTCTCCTCTTCCTCTTCTTCTCCTTCTCCTCCTCTTCCTCTTCCTCTTCCTCTTCTTCTTCTTCTCCTTCTCCTCCTCTTCATCTCTTCCCTCTTCTTCGTCATTTTCTTCCTCCTCCTCCTCCTCCTCCTCCTCTTCTTCTTCTCCTGCCTCTTCTTCATCATCTTCTTCTTCTTCTCCCTCCTCTTCCTCCTCCTCCTCTTCTTCTCTTCCCTTTTCTTCGTCATTTTCTTCCTCCTCCTCCTCCTCTTCTTCTTCTCCTCCCTCTTCTTCGTCATCTTCTTCTTCTTCTCCCTCCTCCTCCTCCTCTTCCTCCTCCTCTTCTTCTCTCCCCTCTTCTTCGTCATTTTCTTCTTCCTCCTCCTCCTCCTCCTCCCCTGCGAAGAAAAAATAAAAAATAAAAAAAATTGGGCATTTTTTCGGGCCATTCAGTTTGCCGGTTGACCCCCCCTGGCCCGGTCCAGCCCCGGTTGGACCGGGCCAGCTCGACTGGCCGGTTGCCGGCTTCAGATTGTTTGCTATAGAGGTAAGGTGTTTCAATTTTGGCTCTGCTCATCTTAGTGTGCTTCATATTGTTTGCTATATAGAGGTGAAGCTGTTTCAATTTGGGATCTGCTTACTCATCTGGGTGGAAAAGGGTTTGTGGTGGTGACAGTTTACTACGCACACACACAATCCTCCCCCTTTTTTGGGCTGGTGAGGGCCCTTGCCCTGGGCCCAACTGATTCTCGGGTATCCCGCGAAAGCAGCAAAACCCTGTTCTCCTCTTAAAGGAGTTTGGACATTCTATGTTCCAGTCTTCTAGCTGTTTTTTCATAATGTGCTCACAAATTGTGGACCCCCTCAATGTCTTCTCTGCGTGGTTGTTCTTTTGGCAGTGTTATTGAGAGGGCACTTCGGAAATTTGCGGGCGAAACTCCTCGTAAGAAGGGAGCCAAAGCAGTCGTAATTCCAAAAGAGGAATCGTCAGGGGGTTTTGTTCTTGTGGCTGGCCGCACAGACAAGGGGGTATCTGCCTGTGGTCAAGTCTGCTCCTTTTGTGAGTATTTAACACACTCCTGTCCACGGCGTCCAAAATATACTAGAAATAAAACAGAAAATTGAAATCCCACCCGATATCATGCATCGCATTCGTGTTCAAAATGAAAGCTATCAATAGTGATTAAGAAGTACCCAGACAACTGGAGCCTCATGCTCACAGCCCTGGCGTATGTCACTCGCTCATCGTTGGAGTCATAAAGGAAATCATAATGGTGCAGTTATGCCTGTTCACATACGCCAAGAGGGATCAGGGATGGTTTATTTTTATTTGATTAGAGTTTTGTGGCATTTCGGCTATTTGATAGTGTATTAGTGTTTCAGCTTGTGTTGATGTGATTAAGAGATGCTGATAATGGCTGAATATTCCCTTCGCAAGGGTTTGGGTGCGCACCCTTTTACTCTTCCGTACGTGGACCTCAAGCATATGCACAGGTGATCACTTAGGTCGTGCGAGCGGCGCAGACAATGCCCACAGAGCAATGAAAAAGAAGAACATACAGAGTGCTCATTTCTTTTTGGCCCGGCCGGGCAAGTGGTCCCGGGCCACTCTGGTAGCCTAGCTTTTTTTTCTTTTTTTTGCCTGTTTTTTGTTTTGGTCGAAGGTTGCGGTGTGCTTTAGGTTTTGTTATGAATGGCGCGACAAATTGTCTGATCATTTAGGCCTCCGTTAACCATCTCTCAAAAGACCTTAATGGTCTAGGAGGCCCTGTGAGTCTATCTGACTGAGAACAGTTTAAAATCAACCCTAAGAGCCCTTAGGGTTGCCATTGTGGAACAGGACAGAAAACATTTTCAATGAGGGTGCTTTACAAGCTTTCCTGTAGTTTTCAGTTAGATGCGATGAACAGGAGTTTGGATGTGCCAAAAAGCTAAGGACTGCATGAGCAGGCTTTTAAAGATGGCAACAATTAAAAAAACTTTAAAAAAGAACTGCTGTGTAGTAACAGTGTGTATGCAAAAGGTTCCGGCAAATGACAACTACTGATAGGGGACAAAATAGACTCGTGGGACTCTTGTGTGCAGGTCTCTGACATTGCGAAAGCTCTAGATGAGGCAGAGCCAGGAAATCTCAGGTGTATCAGTGTCGAGGAGGTATGGTTCCATAAACTTTTGATGTATCTTCTTCATCCCCATGACTTGCCTTCTGCGAACAGAAAGGAGCCAGGACCATAAGGGACTGTCTGCTTGGTTTTTGGAAAAAGTAGGTATAATGAACTCAATTCTGTGCAGCTCGCGAAATACACGCGTTGCATGAATCTCATGATGCTCAATGATTGACAAACTTGAAGACATAGCTTAGAGAGTAAATCAGTCGCTTTTTTCCCCCAAAATCAGCTCTGATTATGTGAACCACAGCTTAGACAAAGGAGGAGAGGGAAGAGGAGGAGGAGGAGGAGGAGGAGGAGGATAGTTCCACTAGTAGTCCATGACCACAATTTCTGGTCTCACCTTCCCTTTGCTTCCGCAAGCTTCTTCCTTCACTTCTGGCCAACCCACTTCGATCAACCTAGCCCTCCCGCTATTGATGATGTAGCCGGTATGTCTCTCGCAACACGTCCCATGAATACTCAAAGGCAGTCTTCAACACAGAGTCAATCAGGCGCAATCAAGAATAACACCGAACCAGACAATGCCCGCCCTCAGGAGCAACGCACTGTCTCTCCCACCATGGCAATCACCGCCAGGTAAGTCTGGGTAAGGCCCCCCCCCCCCCCCCCCCCCCCCC